ATGGAGACGACACTTCAGTGTTGCTAAGCTGCAATTTTCTGTAAGTTAAGGGGATCGAATGCATTTTCAACTCACGGTGTTTTTTCAATTTATGATGGGTTTATCTGGGGACGTAACCCCAGTGTAAGTGGAGGAGAATGAGCATATGATAAAATAAAGTATTTGCTAAGAGATTTTGAAGTAGACCATTGCTACACAGCTAGGGTTTATTCAAGCTGGAAAATTATTTCTGATAAAATCATTGGGATATCAAAACAATTAGGAAGGTGCTCTCAATAGCACAAAGATACTGACTCTTGCATCATACCTGGCATTTTTATAACTTATTTGTACATGGAAAATAGTATACAGTATTTTCAGGAACTTTTCGACTTTCAGAAAGAAATGTAGTTCATTAGGATTTCTATTTTATTTCATTCCCTGACCTCTCAGTTGGCTTATTAGCTAGTAAGTGATGTTCTAGGAATTTGTTGGGGGGGGCGGGTTATAGAAGTTTTGAATCTATTTTGCATAAAAGCATGAATCACAGTATTATGATACATTAATATTGTTAGGTAATTTAATACAATGTCACCGTTTCCTTTTTAGTGGTAGATGGGTCTGTATAAAAGAAAGCTCTTGCCCCCAGTTAGCATTTTGGGATATGTTAGTGATGTATTGTTAATGTAGCTAGGAAGTTGTTATTTTGAGACTTAGTGTAATGGCTGGTGGATTGTGTCAGTTTGAGTGAGAGAAGCACCCTCTGGTGCGGAAGACCCACCCCATGGCGATTTGTCGCCTGGATTGTCTAAAGTGGAAATGAAGAAGGTCAGATCTGCTTCTGTTTCTTTCTTTTTTTTTTTTTCACTTTTTTTTGTCTTTTACATTTTTATCGGTACCGGGGATCGAACTCATGACCGCCTGCTTGTAAGGCAGGTGCTTATGCCGCTGAGCTAAATCCCCAGCCCCTGCTTCTGTTTCTTTAGGGACCTCCAATCTCCATCTTCACCTTGGACCTTGTGCTTGCTGTCTTCTGCCTGTCCTGCTTTGCCATGGACTGTCCCTCCTGTACGATGCCCCACTGCCATCCCATCCTGCCTGGGAGCTGGCCAACCGTGGACTGAAACCTCTATGAACCATGAGCCAACCAAACCTTTTATCCTTTAACTCTGGGTGCTGGGTATTTTGTCCCTTCAACAACAACAAAAAAGTAACTATGACATTTGGTTAAATTAAGAAACAGAAAGGGTCATTATGTAAGAAAACTTTTGTAAAAATATGTGGAATTACACTCTAGATTATTAGCCTAATTTGAACAGTTGATTGTGAGTCAGGTATTAACTCTTTTCACCTGACATGTGTAAGATTGGAAAATTATCATTGTGTTTTACAGGTCACCCTAATTTTACTACCATGTTGATATTTGTGGGGGGAAACAAATTTTAAGTTTCCAAACAAACAGGTAAGTATAAGAAGTAGTTATAACTGGAGACCAAAATTCCAGTTAATTTAATCCAATGTTTAGATGGAATGTCTCCTAGATTTTGTTTTGAATGACATATATAACTCAATTAGGAAGCAGTTGTAACTAATTAGAATATGTTTTAATGTATAAATCACAGTATATATGGTGCCATATTATGACCCTTATATATTTTGTTTGTTTTGTCTATTTGAGACAACTATGCAGTTCAGGCTGTGTCTTAGTTGCTTTTTACTCATCACTGAGACAAAATACCTGATGCCCAAAGTTGGGAAAGGAAAGGTTTATTTCTCACAGTTTTTGGAGGTTTCAGTCCATACTCAGTTAGCTCCAAGGCAGGGTGGCATGGCCAGACCGCAGTTCATGGTGGCTGCAAACAGCAAGGTGGAAACTGGCAAGAGAGAGAGACACACACCTTCTTCCTGCCCTTACATCACATCCTGGCTCCACCCCTATTTGGGTGTAGCCACTGACACCATCAGTCTAAGCACTAGACAATGAACCAATCACAGATGCATAATGTAAATGCATGAGGCCTGAGGGCCACCGACATAAATCATGACAGGCTGGCCTTAAACTCACTTTGTAGCAGGCTGGCCATGAGCTTACAGTATCCTCCTGCCTCAGCCTCCCCAGTGCTGGGATTACAGGTGTGCACCACCATGCCTGGTCCAACCCTTATAAACTTTAGCAAAGAGCTAGATATAGTAAAAGAGATCTAAGCATCTCTTTCCCTAAGGGTCTAAGATAGACCAATGGGACATAAAGATAGCAGAAGCTAAACATCTGCATTATTAAAACTTGTGATAACACAAAGCAATTTTGGACCTGTTTCAGCCATTATCAAAATCTGTCATAATTCACATTTTGACTCGTCAATCAATTTGAAATACAATTTAGAAGGAAGCAAGATGAATCAGAAGTAAAGATGATTCAGAAATCCTGCCTTGCAAGGATGAAGACCTAGGGTTGGAGCTGTGATAATTTTGATGAGCCCTGCCTGAACCCTTCTAAGTATTATTTGCTCTCTAGGTTTGTCCCAGAAATCAGAGAGAGTTGTGGTTATTATTAAGATAGGTGGAACAGATGGATCACAGTTTCCCTTCACTGACTGAGAAGAAATACAAATAATTAAGGAATGGCAGACACACCAGTGATGCTGGGGATGGAGATGGACACAAAGTATAATCCTACCTCTTGGGAACTGGACAAATCCTCTGAGATCCTCCTGTACTCCACCTCATGCAGAGGGAGTCTTAGGCTTGGTACGGGTCTCTTAGAGATACTCATGGGGTTCAAGGAGGGGCCTAATAGCTGACCAGTGGGTACTCCACAAGCACAGACACCCACATGATTAATATACTTAGGTCCTACATGAGACTTTATACGAAAAGAAAGATTCTGTTGTATGGGGTAAAGATGTGATTGCCCCCACCAGTAGCATGATTGCAGAATTACAGGAAGAAATAAAGACTTGACAAACAAGCTATAAGTTCCAGAGATGTCTTCCACTGCTTCACTATGTTAGGTGAGTTAGATTCATCTATGCAGCTCTAGCATGCCAGGCTTTGGTTTTTAAAGAATGATGGGGAAAGTATTTATGAATCCTAGCTCATATCACACATGATGGGTGCTCACGAACTGGTCTCATGTCTGTGTGCATTTCTAACAAATATTTGAAGAACACTTATGTAGTATTGGCTTAGTCAATATTCCAGAGTGGTTAGAATGAGCCACCTGGCAACCTGAAAACACACGCTGATTTATCTCTTAGTTGGAATGAAGTGATTTGATAATGGTTTGCACACAATAGCTTTCTTGTGTGCTTGATATGCCTTTCAAATAGAATTATCAAGAAATGACAAAACTTTCCTTTTCACCCACATTCTAGAACTGGATAATAAACCACTTCCAATTTTACTTCAAAAGATATTTATTGAGTTCCACAAATGTAGGAGAGCAGATAATTGTTAGGGACTGATGGCCTGGTTCTGCACGGAAGCAGAGAAAATGTAAATCTTGGAACTCCCTGTTCCTTGCTTACCACAGAGGGGTTACAGTCAGCCCAGTCCTAAGGCAAATAGGACTCTGGGGCTCCTATCATGACTGATCATGGACTGGTAAGTTCCAGAACATTCTGGTATATTCTAGCATCCTAAGATCTGTACCCTCAAGGTCTAGATTCCAAGGCACAGCTAAGATTCTGAAGTTCCCCAAAGGAGGGAGTTGACCCAAACTCCTGGTTCCTGAGCAGGTTGTTGATTTCTGAGCATGAATGCTGATTAAGGAAAAAAATCAGGTTTCACTTGGTTTATTCTTGGATGCTGGAAAGCAGATGAACAACTCATCCTGGTTGTCCAGGACGTCCTAAAAAAAATTTTTTTTAAGCACAAAGGTAGCCTAGAGCTAATACAGCCTGGCCTGGCTTCTCAAGGCTGAAACCTGGAATGGGCACTCATGCTTCTGCACATCCTACTGGCCACAACATCATTTTAGAATCAGAGAGGCGCTGACCAGTAAGCAGGAGTGATGTGGGGGCTGCCAGGGTAGCCCTGTCTCTCACTCAGAACAGCAGAGGGTTATTCGGGGAACTTCCGACTCAGTGCTGGGTGCCCCACTGGCCTCTGTTTCCTGCCTTCCCCTCCTCATACAAACAGGGCCCTAAGTATGAATAGTGTGTCCTTGGTCAGAGCCTCTGAGAGCTTTGAGTAGGTGTGGAAGAGGCTCATCCCTGTCATTGGTGCGTTTGCCAGGCACACGGGGAGGCCCGAGGTGCCCAGGAAGGCTGCTAGGGGGTTTGCCAGCAAGCAGCTGGAGATGGCCCTGGGCCGGCCTCAGGCCCTCTGGTCTTGCTGATTCTGCGCTCCCTTCCCAGGGGATTGCATCGCCCCCACCTCTGCTGCACAGGGTTTGCAGAGCAGTCAAGGGTAGCGCCTGCTGCAGGAGCTCAACCCGGGTTTAAAGATGAGCAGCGGCCTTAAGGGGTCTGCAGTTTCATTTAGTAGGCAGCGGGTCTCAGGGCCCAGAGGAGCTTCTTGTGGCTGGGCCTGCTGGCAGTGGCAGGAAACCAGCCTCCAGAGTGGCTCCTGCTTGCACTGGGCTCTTCATACCTGAGGGCCCTTCCTTCTTCTCTCCTTTTTTTTTTTTTTTTTTTTTTTTTTTTGCTGGAAAAAATCAGGACCCTCTGGGTCTGCCTCAACCAGGACTCTGCATTCAAAGAAACCCTGAGATGCTTGAGGGGCTTGGGCCTCCTTGTGTGGCTTCTTCTCCCTTTCCCAGAGGACACCATCTGTCTTCAATCATTCATTCCTATTGGACACTGAACCTAGGATCTTCGCAGGGAGTTACAACCCCAGCCCATTCTATTTCATGCTTTGATACCAGGTCTCTCCCAGTCACTGAACTGCCCAGGCTGGACTCGAATTCGCGATCCTCCTGCCTCAGCCTCCCGGGGCGCAGCGTTGCAGGCGTGCACCACCGCGCTGGCCCTTCCCATCAGTTCCTTGTCCCCGCCCCGGGCGTCCCCGCCTCCGCTCTGTCGCTTTAAACCGCCCGGCCGCCCCTCCCCGCCAGCTCCTCCTCCTGCACCGCCGCGCGCCCCGCCGCTCCGCGCTCCGACCGCAGCCATGGCGGACATCAAGACCGGCGTCTTCGCCAAGAACGTGCAGAAGCGACTCAACCGCGCGCAGGAGAAGGTCAGCGGCGGGCCGGGGCCGGGGCCGAGCCGGGGCCTGGGCGCGGGGACGCGGGGACGCGGGGACGCGGGGACGCGGGGACGCCGTGCCCTCCGCGCGGCCACTGCGGCAGCGCAGGACCCGGGCGCGGGCTCCGCAGACCCGCGCGGCTGGAGCGGGCAGGTGGCCGCGAGCGACCCGGCGCCTGCACCATCCAGCGGCACCGCGGACACCCCTCTCCACCCGCAGCTCCCTGCACCTCCTCTAACCCCCATCTGCTACTCCGGATCCTGCATCTCCCGCGCCTTCTCCCCGCCACCCGCATCTCCCCGCCGGCCTCTCCCGGCTCCTCCATCACCCCGCGCCTGCATCTTCCTGCCTCAGCATCCCGGAGCATCAGCTCCCGCTGGCGGCTCTTAGGGGTTTGGGCCGCACATCCGGGTGGGGGATTGCGGCAGCCTTCTCCCCAGAGGGGGTCTCGTGGCTACCTGAGTGCGGTGCACATGGTTTAGCCGCGAAGTCAAACCCCCCCCCCCCCAAATTGCAGTCTGAATCAATAGAACTGGATTGCAAACAACCAGCACCTTTGGTCAGCCCTGTCCCGGGAGTCCTGGAATTCAGAGCAGAACACATGCTTATTTCGTTTTCTTATTTGTATTTTTGGACTGGTTATTTATGCCCCTCCTGATGTCAGTGTCCTTTTTTTTTTTTTGGAAGGTCAAAAAAACCCCCCAAAAACCAAACCAAAACAAAACAAAACAAAAAACAAAAAAACAAAACAAACAAACAAAAAAACAAACCCAACCTATCAATTCTCAGTAGATTTCTGCACAGAAGAGTTGTATTGCATTTTTTAAAAAGTGCATGGTTTGGCGTCCGTGTTGTTTTGCAAACCCCTTAATAAAGAAGCCGTGGAAATTTATTTTTCCTCGCCCAGGGATGTGCATGGAGGAATCCTAGGTCCATAGCAAGAGCATCTGGAGGGTGTTGTGAGGCACTGGGCTGGCCTGGCTTTCCGGGGGGGCTGCTGTCTGTGACAAAGTGAAGGTCTTGGTTCGTGTCCCAAGCAAAGGACATTTGCACTGTAGCTCCAACATTGTACTGGAAAAGGAACACCAGCCGGATGATCAGTAGGGTTCTCTCACATGGCAGGAGTTTCTGTTCCCAGGATACCTGCGGGATGTTTTGTGGTTTTCTTGTTTTCCTGTCAGATCTGCAGTGGATTGGGTCCCTTTTTAGACCTGAGTTCATACTGCCTCCAGTTTAGGCTGCCCTGGGGATGCTGATTAGAAGGGACACGGATCCCTTTGCCAGTCCCAGGCCCAGAGGCTTGGTGGCTGCCACTAGTCCTACCCTCCCGACACACTTGCACACTCTCAGTGCAGTAAGAGGATTGTATTTCTTTTAATATCCCCCAGCTCATCCTGAACTCCGGGATCCTCCTCCTGCTGCTGCCTCAGCCCCCAGCTGCTGAAAAACAAGGCTCCCTGCCCCTTTCTGTCCTGCCTGCTTGTCCAGAAAGTAACCAGGGCTGCCTGCTGGCTTTGGGATTGAGAGGGGGATCTGTCGTCCTTTTCCATAGGCATTTTAACCCACTACTCATCATCCCCCTACCCCACCCCGATTAATTTCTTGAATCTTTGTTCTGAAGCTTGCTTTCCATCTGTGAAGGAATTTAGTGTTATGATCCGCCTTTTCACATAGTAAATGATTTCTTAATCTAGGTCACCAGCTGTTAAATATGCGCGGAATAAATGAAAAGAAAAATGTCATTTCTCTGACATAACAGTCAAGTCTGAGACAAGCGTCGCGTACTAGCACAGTGTGTGGCTGAGGTCAAGGGTGCTGGGGCTGCGGTTGTGGCTGGTGGTCATTCTCCCAGGAGGGTCTGAGAGAGACCTCATGGTGGGCAGTGTCCCATCTCTTCCTCCAGGTGGGTGCTAATGCATGCTGTCTGTTGCTCCTAGGATGAGGGTTTAGGAAACCTCAGAATGCAAGCCCAGTGTGGGGCCGTTGGGGCCTTATCAGATTGCTCCCCAAGTGAACCCACTTTCTGCTTTTTACCTTTTTCTTCTCTAACTATGCACTCCTGTGTCCTGGCACCCTCTGCTCCTGTCCACTATCTTTACTGTCTTCTCATCTCTACTCCACTTAACAGCTGATGTGCATTTCAGCTCCAAATGCGTGGCAGAAATGGACCACACAGGTGACTTAGGGCTTTTTCTGAATTTCAAATACATATTTCTTCTTATTGAAAGTCAATCAAGGTTTGTAGGAGAAAGAATGAAATACACATATAAGCAGGAAAAAAAAAAAAAAAGCCCAACAAATTAGGAATCTCGTAATTCTACTTCTCAGGGCTTTGGCTGTCGTCTGATACATATTCCAGGTTATCTTCCATATGTATAAGTAAACACTTACACACTCGAAACAAACTAATGCTGTGTTTCTGGTTATCTATTTATCTCCTTTAATAACCACGAAGAGACTTTTATGGACATATTTCTACCTCATCTTTTCAAATGACTGAATTGGATTGGAATGTGTGGATTTGAATGAATCCCCGTTTTTGAATGTTGATTTCTCAGTGTTTCTATATGAAAACCCAAGTCAGGGAGCAGACTCACAGGCAGAATGTCTATACACACCTTTAATTATGTCCTCAGATAAATTCCTAGAAGGAAAACTATCGGTCAAGGAAATGCTTGTATTTATTAGTGATAGACAGTCTTCCTGAGAGATGTACTTCATCCTCACCACCCGGCGAAGAGGCACTTGCCAACTCTGGACAGTAGAATTTAAAGCAATTGTTAGGTATGTCAGTAGAAAAATTAGCCCCTGAATCATTTCCTTTGATTTTGGGAAAAAAAAGAGCAATTTTGCATTTTTTTCCACTCCCAAATTGTGTTTATGCTTTGCCCTTTATCTGTAACATCTCCAGTCTTCTGGTCTATAAAGGCAAAAACTTTATGAGTGGTAAAGACTATAAACATTTTTTCCCCCTTTCCTATTTACTTTTAAAAATCATTTTACCTAGTAAAGAAAATGTGTTTTATGTGTATTTGCTTAAGTCTGCTGGTTGGTTTTGTATAGGTTTTCTTTTTGAGTGGCTGAATAAATCAGGATTCTACAAGTGTCTGAAAACTTGTAAAAAGGAATGTGGTTCAATTAGCTGATAACTTACATTTGGCTCTTGCATCGTCAATTTAAATGCATTTTAATATATTTATATTATGTGTTATATAATAACATATTTCTGTTTATATGAAAATATTGAAATATATTTAATTATATTGCGTATATTGACCTATATGTCTGTATCCTTACCTATGTAAACATGTGCATACATGTGTGTATCCTATGTATCCCTTGTTTTCGTTTTTGAGACAGGCGCTCTTACATCCCCGTTCTATGGAGGAGGAAGGAAGGAGATAATGACCTGTGTGCCTGAGAACTCTGGTGTAGTGATCATGGGGCCTTGGGCCTGACCCTAGAAGAAAAATCTCTGTGACTAAAGCCCAGGACCTGGGTTGAACGGGGCTTTAGTTACAAGCAACTGCTCAAACTGAGGATAGAGGGGTTGCCCTGCGCCATGTGGACTCAATGGGGTATTATCTTTTAGATCTAGAATGTTCCGGGAGCTCATGTGTCTAAAGGAGCGGCTTTTGGGAGGCGATTGGATCGTGGAGGTGCTGTCACTGGCTTGCTGTTGGGAAGTGGGGCCTGGTTAGAGGTCTGCGGAAGTGAAGGGTTTATTCTAGAAAGGTTTATTCTTGTCTCTGGATTCTGTCTTTTCTTACCGCTTGCTGGCCATGGGGTTGGGCAGCTTTGCTCCACCAGGGCCCTTCTAGCATGCTGTGTCTGTCTTGGGACCACCTTACCATGGACTGCACTCTCTAACAGCCACGAGACAAGGACTCCTCTTCGTTTGCAGTTTGTGGGTGTTTGTTTTTGTGTCCAGTGGCAGGAAAGTGACTGAGACATAGAGAAAGGAGAGAGAAAACTAGAGAACTGGGCTAGCAAAATAAAAGATGTCAGGGAGGCATCCCCAAACGACCTTTTCCATCTCCTGTCTATAAAAATAACCACATCGTTAATAATTCAATATTTGTTTAAAATTAATGCATACAGTTTTAAAAAATCAAATATTAGCACAAGGCTTATTACTATGTGAAATAGCTTGCCCTGCTTCTCTGTCTTCAACCTCTAGGTTTGCTTAGGGCAACTCTTTATTCCACCACAAGATTTCTTAGAAATGTGCCTGTGTAGTATTCATCGATCTGCCTTTCTTTTTATATTTACTGGACATAGGCAAAGACTTAGTTCTCTTATGTTCATCTGCTTTCCCTTTCCCAACATATATTATCATCAAAATCAATGATTACTGAAGATTACATTTTTAAAGGGTTGAAATATACTTTTTATTGGCTAAAGCAACAGTGTCAAACCTTTTAGAGACCGAGTGCTCAAAGTGCAATCCAAAACCAACTTGGTTATTGCAAAGTGCCAGCACCGCAATTGCACCTGATCGGCTGCTGGGACCGTGCTAGGAGATTGGGCTCGTGGGCCGCAGCTGGACCTGTGCCATAGGTTTGCCAGCACAAGACGAGAGTATGCACATATCAGGTATGCAGCTGATGAATTTCTATGCATGTGGGCGTCTGCAGAGCTACCACCAGCTTGACTTCTAGAACATTCCTGACATACTCATTAGTAAGTACCCTCGCCTGTACTGTCCTTTGTCTTTTCAATATTACTTTTCAATTTTGAGGCACCGTTTCCCTGTGTCCTGCTAGGCTTGAACTTGTGATCCTCCTGCCTCAGCCTCCCAGAGTGCTGGGATACAAGTGTGCACCACCATACTGGACTTCAAACTTTGTAATTTCTTTGCTGTCATTTTCTGATAAACATTTTTCCTGTATTTACCGGTAATTGTGTTATCTGTTTTTAGTGAAGTGTCTGTGTAAAGTCGTTCAAATGTGTTTTTCATTTGGGTTGCTTGCTTTTTTCTTGTGGATTGA